ATATATATATATATATATGCAAGAAATATATTTTTTAATGGTTTTAGTTAATGATATCAATTTAAACATTATGTTTAATTTATTTTTTATTATTATTATTTAAATCTTGGAAGATAGCCTACATTTAAAGCTGCAGTCCGTAACTTTTTTTTGGTTAAAAATGATCCGAAATCAATATTTGAGCAAGTACATAACCAGCCAGTGTTCAAAACTATCGCCTTACTTTAGCCCGATTCACAACGGTTAGCTTATAATAATGTTTTCTAATTTGAGTGGTACTGGTAGGTTTTCGCGGGAAATTCGAACACGGCACTGCGTCATTACGTCACATCTGTAAACATAATGAAGTTGTCCTGGCTACTAGGCTATCGCATGTGAGGATCCTGCAGGTGGCCGATCATTTATAGCCTTTTCTCACAGCAGCTAGAATAATTAAATGTATCATTTTGATGGCGGATTGTAATCCAGAAAGCATTATGTGTTTATGAAACGCATGTGAATGAAATTAAATTATATTCCAGTTATAAATGTGATTCTTATTACAGATAGCCTGGGATTACAAAGATTTATATTTGAAAGAAAACCAGTTCGAAGGGAACATAATTTGCTTTTTGGGTTAAAAGAATTTCTTAATATGAAATTCGAAGAGAATGACAATTAGATTAGACTGTGCAGAATTTGAAATCTACATGCTAATACACACTATACTCATAGTCACCAATGCTGCTGTTGTAAAATGAATAATTTGAGAATAAAGTATAACAATAATAATAATTTGAACGGTTTGATGTGATACGAGATATCCGATCTTTAGATTTAATCACCATTGGTAGCAAGATTTATGGTAATGCTTTTTTCCTCAGTTGGTCAGAACAAACGTGGCAGACTTGTTACTTGTTCAGATGACAATATATGGTGAAAATTCTTATTTGGGTCATATTCCAAGACGTAGGCTAGAATCTGTGATTGCGAAGTACAGTAAATATCCACATTGGTGCGGTGATTGACTGCCACACATACTCTTCAGAACATTAGATTCATCCGTGCTGGAGCCGTGCCGCCGCGCAGCACGCAAGGAAGATAACTCGGCACACAGCTGTAATTCCAGGTTTTCAAACAGAGATGGCGACAAAGAGGCAAAACTTATGGACTGCAGCTTTAAAAATGTTTTAAAATAAGTTGTTTATCCTCACTGAGCAGGCTTGCCAGGTTTTCACAACAAAACCCACCCAATTGCTACTCAAAACTAAAAAAAACAAAAAAACAATTGCATTAAAAATTGAGTTCCAGGGTAAAATACACGTTTTTTTGGCGGGGTTCCCCTGGTAAAATTAGCATTTTAGGGGCTAAATATCACATTATTGGAGTCGCTTCAACCTACAGACATGAAAAAAAACCGCGGCAACATTGATAAAGTATCCCAATTCCATGGGAAAACCGCAGACTTGGCAACACTGTCACTGAGGCTGCATTTATTTGGTTAAAAATCCAGTGAACATCATTATTGTGTAAATCAGTTTTCTGTTTGAATATATTTTAAAATGCAATTTATTCCTGTGATGTAAAGCTGAATTTTCAGCATCATTACTCCAGTCTTCAGAAATCATTCCAATAAGCTGATTTGGTGCTCAAGAAACATTTCTTATTATTATCAACAGTTCAGCTAATGTTTTTATGGAAACTGATACTTGAGGATTCTTTGATGAAAAAATCTGAATTTATTTGAAATTGAAGTCTTTTGTAACATTATAAATGTCTTATTGCCACGTATGATAAATTTTATGATTTCTTGCTGAATAAAAGTATTAAGTATTAAAAAAAAAAGCTTACTAACCCCAAACTTTGGTATAAATGTACAAA